ACATGCTGCCTTGCCACTCGGCAAGTTTATTAGTCGATAGCAGTTAGTGGGCGACTGTGATTGGCCGTCCCAGAAGTAGGTCGAGAACGTTGATCACGTGACCTCTTGTGCAATGTTGGCGACAGAAATCGAAGACGCTAGATCTCAAGACTAGGTTTACATGTCTTCTCCCTCTCCCATGAATCAGTCGACAGCGCGAATATATTTTCATCGATCGGGTTGCCGGACATGCTCATTCCTCCGCATCTCGGGACTCAATGTTGGAATTTTCCTTCCTGTGTGATTACCCACCACTATGCGCGAGGTTTCTTTATTGAGCTCCAAAGCGCCACGGGACGAGAATGTTCCTTAATTTGATCCGTGCACGCACTTTAAGCGGCGTATAATTTTTAAGGATAGCTGGATTTTAGTTCTCTTCGTATGTGTATTTTCATGCGTCAACTAGTGAGTTCGCCCTCTCAACTTATGAGCAAGATAGACAGAAAATTCTAGTACAGTTGGTGAATTGCTAGCCTCCTCTATAATGTAAAAACTTGAGGAACTCCCGATTTCCTTCCATATTTGATTTATTTTGTGGTTGTGGTTTACGTCTGCTACCGAAAATACAAACCATATCCGAAGTAAGTCTGTTACCCTGCTCTGCCCCCTCTCAAAAGAGCAACATTCCTGTTTCCGTTGAAAATTATCGTTCACAGTTTCTCAGTGTGACTGTGATCAGTTCTGATCCAACCGGCTGTTTCATGAAATATCCCGAGCGATGATCTGTAATAGCTGAAACTGTAAGCCCCGGCCGCTTTCTCTCGCCGCTAAGACGGGATACAGCAGGTCCACGAGCGACCGGGACATATTGAAAAACCATATCGAAGCAGATTTTGAACTGGTCGTCACATGTTTGCATAGAATGAGTTTAGGGCGTTGGATCTGGAGCAGCAACATCAAGCTCCCGAGGTAGACGATGGACAGTGTGCGGAGACAATTTCGGTTGTCCATATGGGATGGTTTGGACTTTCTCATTTTGGCGACGAATGGTTATGCAACCCTAATAACGAGCACAATCGATAAGCAGGACTGTAATACGGGAACGGTAGGAATGGCGTGGGGCAGTTTAAAGGACGATCACACGCTGGTATTGAAAATAAATTTATATGCCCATCGTCATTATTCAAGTAAGCTGGGCGATTCTGTATTCAGCCAGATGACTCAGTTTCTTGTAAAGTCCTCGATGTAGAAGAAAAACAAAAAAGGAAGGCTGAAGCAGAAAGGAGGGTGTTCATCTTTACAACAACAGCCAGGCTACAAAAGGTGCGAACAGAATAAAGGGGAAGGAATAAAACCTTCACATACTCAACAAGAACCCTGAACCCTGAAGGATTTTTAAGGGCAGCAATGATAGCAGATGTCTGAAACATTTGTATAACGAGGCTGAAGTGCTGAAATTTAAGGATCGCAGTATCATATCAACTCATAGAGACTAGCATGTCAGACTCCCATTGAAATGGTTCTGGCCTAAAAGACGGGTTTCTAGGGATCATGCTGCAGAGAATCACATTTCTTTACGAAAATTAGCATTTTGGATCATA